ACCAAACGCGTTTATAGTTTATGTTTTTCTAAAAATAAACAAAAAATAAACAAAAACCAGTTTATAAAATTTTTGTAAATATAAACTGAAAACGTAAACGTTACCAAACACACCCCAAACATTTTTTTATTCCAATTTTCAATTTTTTTTTAAATCTAAAACAAAAATAGTAATAATCGTAAAAATAAAAACCTCACCAAAAGAACCCTAAGATTTACAATCCCAATTAAAAAAATTTGTGAAGTTACCAACTCAGAGTTAGGAGGTCAAATAACAGGGCTCCCGATCTACTAAGAAGACAACTGTAATAGAGAAAAGAAAAAATAAATAAAGAAAAATTTGATCCCAATATGAATACAACAAATCAAGTACCAAGAGCACATGAAATAAATACATAACAAGCATTCTAAATGTGGTGGTGATCCAATATGGTTGGAGCTCTCTCCTCTCTCACTAAAGATAATTTTCTTCCACATAGCCACGTTTTGTATTCACAATCCCAACCTCTGGTATGTGTGCAATTTTTCAATAATTCCCATCTTCTATGTCTCTGTTCGGGCTCGAACTCAATCCATTAGACATATCAACCAAATAAAGAGACTGAAGGTTGTTTTGTCATCAAAGTCCACTTGGGAAATTTATTGGCACTGAGATTAACTGACAGCTCTTGAGATTAACTGACAATCTTTTGGACCAAATCTAGACCAGATAGTTTGATCCTAACCAACAAGCCATTGAATTTAGACGTTGGCCTGGATGGAGTGATATACAATAACTAATATCATCATTAAATTCTGGTGTAATACTTAAAATAGATGAAATGTTTAATGTCTTTATTTGTTTAAATTTCTTATTTCGCATTGGACTTCTGTGTAGGTCCTTGACCTTCCTGAAATTCTTGTAGAAGCTGAAAGGCGTGGGTCATCTTTTGATGAATTGTTGACAATTCCCGAGCTGGATGATTGGATATACAATGATGGGAAGTCCACATCACGTGTTGTTTTCATTCTAGAAATGTACAAGGAAGCAGGGTTATTTGATCCATTCAAGTTACATAGTTTCGGTGAGTTTGTTGTGAATATTCAATTTCATTAATTTAAATAACAAAGTCTCAAATTTGCATTCAATTAATGTTTCACGATCAATACAATTTTTTTAAAAAAAATAATATTATTTATTGAATTGGCTTATATTAAAGCCACTATTCAGATGGTTTAAATTATGTTATTGTATTTGCACGAGGTTGGAAGATCTCACGACTGCACCCTCACATTGCAGCTAAGTTTGCATTGAATGATTATTGACAAATTTTTCATCAATAAAACTATTATTGTCTGCATGTGCACTTCTTTGTACTTATTTACGTACAAAAAATAAAAGAATGTTAGTTTATTTTAGGGTAAATTACACAAATAGTCCCTAAAGTATACCATTGATTTCATTTTGGTCACTAACCTTTAATTTGATTCAATTGCATCCCTAAACTTCACATATTAATCCAATATAGTCCCTTTCTTAATTGTTGTCTGAAAAACATACTAAAAATGTTTATGTCAGTCTCAAGCCAAGCATTTGAAGGGCATAAAACAACATTTTGACACATCTATTTATGCCAAATACTATCATTAAAAGTGTCAAACACCCTACGTATTCGACTTTCAGTAATGAAATGAAAGTCTTGGATGCGTTTTATTTTGTAAATAATGTTCATTTCACGTGTCTCATGATTCATTTAGGTGGGAAATGAGAAATTCCTTGTAATGCTCTCCAAATGCCTTATTTGAAGCTGGCATAAGCATTTTTCATAATTTTTGTAAGACAATAGTTAGGATAGGGTACTACATTAAATCAATGGGTAAAGTTTAGGAATGTAATTAACACAAATTAAAAACTATAGACCAAAATGAAATCAATGGTATACTTAGGAACTATTTATGTAATTTAACCTTTATTTTTACTATCATGAAAATAAACTTGAACTGTATGGATAAATATGGATGTTCAACTAAAATTGATTGTTGTATGGATGTAAAACCCAGGTCAGGTATTTTACATATTATTTTGCTTTGTTAATTTGTCTTGTCCAAATTGCAGATAAAAGATCCTTACACTCTCAAGTTTTTTGAAAGCAATTCAAGCCGCCTGCCAAAGTGGTGCAATGGCGCGGACATCGTGAAACTCCCTTACTGCCAAATTCGAGGGAAGTATCAAATGGAACTACCGGGATAGAATACGATGGATCCATACCCGCATATGAATGAAAGATGCCCATCTCTTCCCCCAAAATACTCTAAGCCTAAGGGTTGCTAAAAAGTCTTTTGATTTGTTTATCTTGTTTCGAAGTTTTTATACCACAGCTTTGTATAATACTAGGTGGTTATATGATTTTTTTTTCTGTATACAATTTTTCTGATGCAAAGACTTGAAAGATTCCGAAACATTAGTTGATGGAATTGCTATTCTTTTTCAAAGATCAATAAATTTTGGAACGCATCCTACAAAAACTGTCAAGTTAGATCTAATCTATATAGTTGTTTGATGAGCCATCAAGATTGATTTTCATGGTTCAATAAACCGGTTCCATGGTTGATATTGAGGTGCTTCTCCTTCCACTGGTCCTTTTATTGCATCATGTTGCTCAATCAATTGGGTAGAATAAACTCCTGTTGTGTCAACCATGTAACGTCGACAAAGTAAAAAATCAACACTCTAAACATAGGAAACTTGCCTTCACGCCTACACCTTTATCGAAATCATCATCCCTCTAACTCTAACTACTACATATATTGAGTTTGAACTTTGAATCATATGGTCATGAATTAAAAATTTTAACTAATTACAAATGTTATTCTCATTCGTTTGAGGTTTAAATAAGTCTTCAAATGCTTTTTGCAGTCCCAAAAAATTCAAGAAGTGATAATCCTAAGAATATTCATTTTGAGATTTGAAAAACTTGTGCCCATTTGAATTAAAATGATTAGAAACCCAATATCTGAAGTAGTGTTTATGAACTTTTGGCTATTTATTTTATTTTTTTCCCCCCTATGTACAAAGAACATATAATATGTTTATTTTTTTTTCTTTTCATTTTTTTTTATTTTTGTAAAAACTACAATAAATAGCATATTACATGTTCTCAATAACATAAAAAATCAAACAGTAGTGCTACTTCAATCAAAAAGTTAGACTTATTTTTCAAGCCTAATGATGTAGCACTCTATTAAAATATTGATAAATTATAAATACACCTCTTGAGATTTGTTTAAAATATATATTGCTCTTTATGATTCTAAAAATTACATCTCGCCTCTTTAAGTTTCTAATTACATAACAAATAAGTCATTTTATTAATAAATCATCAAGTTAATTAATTATTTTTAATGATGTCATAAATATATTTCAATTAACAATTCAAATAATTTTATTGTTATATAGGAAAATAATTAAATTTTTCATCATTCTGTTAATTATGTTAAATAAAAAAATTTGATAATGAAATATTTGTAATTTTCAAAATTACAAGGGACAATTTATACTTTAAGTAAATCTTAGGAGGTGTATTTGTAATTACTTTAGAATATTTAAATCAACCCTCTTTCTAATATTTTCTCTAATCATCAACCATTCATTTATTTTACATTATACATCACCAGGTTTAGAAAGTGAGTTTATAAAATAGATTTGTATAACATTTTTAAAAATGAAAACAAGTATAGTAAGTTACCAAAATGGGAGAGTGGTCGAAGGTGATTGCCAACGCGAAGACGGAAGGGTGAGGATGGTAGGAAAGAATGAAACTTATTTTGAAAAAGAGTAAAATCACAATTTTCTTATTTCCAGAAATCTTAAGAACTGTAGCCAGATTTTTTTTGAAAGTGAACAATTAGCAAACGTGTTGTTTATTCCGATTTCAAAAAATCTAAAGCTAAAGAAAAATAAATAAAATAAAAATCTCACCATTCAAAATTTTGTCAAGTTAGCAAACGTGTTTTTTAAAAGTGAAAACAATTAACAAATGTGTTTTCTATTTCAATTTCAAAAAATCTAAAGCTAAAGAAAATTTTAAAAAATTAAAAAAAAAAACTCACCAAACAAATCCTAAGATTTACAATCCCAGTTAAAAATTTGTAAAGTTACCAACTCTTTAAGATCAAAATTAGAAGGTCAAATAACAGGCTTCTAGACTACTAAAAAAACAAAAATGTAACAGAAAAAAGAAGAAGAATAGAGAAAAATTTGATCCCAATATGAATACAACAAATCAAGTACCAAGAGCATATGAATATAAATAAATACATAATAAGCATTCTAAATGTGATAGTGATTCAATCTGGTTAGACATGTCTCCTCCCTCACTATAGATAATTTCCTTTCCAATAACCAAGTTTTGAGTCCCCAATCCAAACTTATGGAATATGTGCAATTTTCCAATTATTCCCACGCTCTAATGTTGTGTTTGGTTGGAGGATTTGGGGAAGGATTTGGAAAGGGAAATAGAAAAGGTAGGTAAAATGTGAATAAAATATTCCTATATTTCATCTAGTTTCACACACCTTTTCCCTTTCCCTTTCCAAATCCCTCTCCAAATCCCTCTCCAAATCCCCCAACCAAACACAACATAAGTCTCTGTTCAGACTCGAAATCAATCCATTAGACATATCAACCAAATCAAGTGATTTAAGGGTGGTTAGATGTTCAACGCTAGAGGGTAACTCATCTACCAATTCGCATTGCCAAATAACTAACTCTTCAAGATGAGGCATCGAGCTAGCCTCCACTTTCACCCATCTCAATCCACCAGCCTTAAAACACAATTATTCCCCTTTATGTGCCTGAAGAAAATGAAGTTGAACCAAATTGGGCAAACCTTGAAGGGATTCCAGCGTATCAACATCCCTTAACTTACTCCATCGTAAAACTACTCCTACCAAGCTGTGCAGTGAAGGTATCCAATGCGGTACCTTACGTAAACTTCCTTCTAGGCAGAGCGTTCGAAGAAGTTAAGGTGGTGAAGAAAGAGAATCTAGATCAATAATTTCGTCTTCTCCTGATGCACGAACAACCAATGAGCGAAGGTAATTAAGCTTCTCAAGGGACGAGCATAACACCCTCCCATCTTCATTTCTCAGGTTTTCAACCTGCAATTTCCTCAGTTGAGTCAACTCCCCTACCTCTCCTGGCAAAATGGTCCCATTATCATGGTTTGTTTCAATAGAACAAAGTTTCTGTGAGGATGACAAACGTCCTATTTGTATCGGGGCTTTGAATCCGCATTGGTTTTTAAAAGGATATGAAGGAATAGAATCTCTATGTAGCGATACAACAAGATATGGTGAAGTCGTTGGAGCTTCAGGATATCATCAGGCAACTCAGTGACATATGTATGTTTAAGGTCCAATGTTTCCAAGTTTTGGAGCTTTCCTATCGACTTCGGTATTATTTTTACCTTGGTTCCCCTCAAACTTAAATACCTGAGTTGAAGTAGTTTCAAAACTTCATTTGGGAATGTCTCCGACAAGGCACCTCTCAAGTCTAGCACGGTTAGCAGCCGTAGACCATCATTTGACGATGCGAGAATGGACAACGTGGACAGTGAATCTGTTGCATTGAACATAAGCAAAGAATGAAGTCAAGTGAAATGCTTGCTTTGTTGTGTATATTCCCAATGATTGTTGATTGATAAGCGCCGCACCTTTTTAGGCCGTCATTATTGATTGATAGGCACCGCACCTTAGATATAGAAAGCAGACTTCAGATAATAAGGTAAATCAATGTAACTGATGGACAATATTTTGTTCATGCTTAGGAGTTTGTCATTTCCTTCTAGTTCTGCACCAAGGCTGCGGTATATCTTATCCCACTCATCCACACTGCTCTTATCCTTTGTTGATAAAAGACCACTAATTGCCACAATTGCAAGTGGCAATCCCTCGCATCTATTCGAGATGGCTTTTGAAAGTCCTTCCAAATGTGAAGGGCAAGAATTCTCCATAAATGTTTTCCTGCAAAACAATGTCCAAGACTCTCCGTGAGTCAAGAGCTGAAGATTATAGACATCGCCATGATACTCTGTACTAGCGAAAGAAGCTAAATCTGCATTTTGTTGGGTTGGGTTTCCTTCCTATGTGGAGGATGGCCCAAAATATTTAGTAAAACCCATGTGAGTTCCAAAGCCCACATGGAAAGGTTGTGTTTTTGAAATGTTTGGGCCCTTATGTTTTGGCGCATGAGTAGTTTTACAAATCCTTTCTCTGTAACTTAGAGAAAGAGACGCAGCAGCCACCAAAAATAGAGAGGAAATGAGAGGCCAAGGTTTTGGAGAAATTCTGTCCAGCTTTGATCAAGCTAGACGATTGACATGCATTTGTGGTCCGATTAAGCTGAAATTTGGTAGGCGAGTTCACAACTCAAGACTCTAAATTATGGCCGGTGGAGATCAGATTTGGAGTATTCTACTGCTGGTTTTTAGCCCGTGAACAGTACCCTTTTTGGTGAGATCTTTCCTAAACTTGTATCTTGATCTTTGGTTGCCAAGAAAACTTATTTGTAAGTTGTTCTTGATTGTTTGCCTCTAGATATATCTAGAGAGAACTCTTGTATACCCATTATTTATTGATAGTGGAGATATTTGGTGGACTACGGTCCCGTGGTTTTTCCTTCCCACACCAGGAAGGTTTTCCACGTTAAAAATTATTGTTGCCTTGTTGTGTGATTGTTGGATCATTATTTTCGGATTATTATTCAGAATATAATGTGCTCTATTAAATTGTTTCCTAATAGGTTCACACAAAGAGGGAGAATAACTACTTCCGCTATTTTTGTGTCGGATTTGGATATTTCGAATTGGACTTTTGTTTGTTTCCTCCCAACACATTTTTTATTGTAAGCACTACTCGACTGCCACAATTGCCACTAGGAAACACATGTCTAAAAATTGCCACGCATGAATATCCCATACATTATCGAAAACAAGCACATACCTCTTTTGTTGCAGGAAAGCATTAATTATCCCTTTCAAGCTGTTAGTATCCATGTTGTCCATCCCTTATGGGACTGGTTGCTTGACTTCTTCAAAAAGTTGTTTGATGATGCCTTTTAGGAGCACCTCAATCTTAAAGGATTCAGAAACAGTGATCCAAACATGGCTCTGGAAATGATTCTTCACAACTGCATCATCAAATACCTTTTTAACCAGTGTTGTTTTGCCCAATCCACCCATTCCTGATACGGAAAACACCTTAAGTTCTGGGGTCTTCATGCACTAACCACCAAGTCAGTTCCGATTTGGGTTCATCGATGCCCACAAGCTCAGATTCATCGAGTAGAAGGGCATCGCTGCAACAATCATGCCATGCTCTGTTAAAACCAGTGGCCCTTGAGCTTGAGCCTTGCTCTAACGTACCATATCTGTCATGGTACCTCTAATGTCCCTTGGAAATATCGTCGACTCTGGACTTCATTCTTTGAACTTCAGAACCAATTTGGTGACGAGCTATTAAATTCTTAATATAACAAGAAACCTTATGAAGAAAACCGTGAAATCCAGGGCCATGACGATGTCCAAGGCGAAGCATGTACAACTCGAGAACATCTCTGTTGGAAATCATATTGAGTAATTGAAGGAATTTACCTTCGTTGTATTAGACTCCACAATCAGTGGGTTAGCCATGATTGTAGCTGTTAGTGTATACTTAGTGCATGAATATTATAATGTTAGTGTAGTGCATAGCTTTAATATAGCTTTACAGAAAGCTTTTTTCTTTCGGCAACTTTCGGTTTTCTTTAATAATGATTGTGTTGTTTGTCCTATGGCTAAGCAAACACGCATTCCATTTCCCTTAAGTACAACATTAACTGTTTCACCATTTGAATTACTTCATTGTGATATTTGGGGTCCACATCGCATTCTCTCACATACTGGTTCACGTTACTTCCTTACAATTGTGGATGATTTTACTAGGTGTACTTGGGTCTTCTTGACGACAAACAAATCTGAAACACAGGCCTTGCTTAAAGCTTTCTTTGCCCTAGTCTATAATCAATTTAACGTCAGCATCAAAACTCTTAGAAACGATAATGGATCCGAATTTATTTCCATGCGGGATTTTTTTCTTAATACTGGTGTCAAATTTCAATGCTCATGTGTTTCCACTCCTCAGCAAAATGGGGTGGTTGAGCGCAAACACTGGCATATTCTTAACATTGCTCGTGCTTTGCGTTTTCAATCACGCATTCCCTTGTCTTTTTGGGGTGAGTGTGGGCTAACCGCTGTATACCTCATTAATCATTTACCTACCCTTTTGTTGGCCAATAAATCTCCATTTGAGTTACTTTATCAGAAAACTACCGCCTCTTACCCATCTTCGTGTTTTTGGTTGTTTATGTTATGCTACCGTTGTTCATCCTGCTCATAAGTTTGCCTTCTGTGCACGACGTTGTGTCTTTCTTGGTTATCCCGCCGACCACAAGGGTTACAAACTTTATGACTTGGATTCTAAAAATTTTCTTGTGAGTCGGGATGTCAAATTTTTTGAAACCATTTTTCCTTACCAACCCAACTCTACTTCCAACCCAATTTGCACTCGCCCTATTGTCTTACCTCTTTCTCAATCTGACCACACCTCCTCCTTCCCTACTCCTGCGCCTGCTTCCTTTCCCACGCCCGAAGCTGCTTCCTCCCCAGATCCTCCATCTCCACCTATATCATTGCCTCATTCTCCCACCTCTGTTCCTCCTTCCATGCCACAACGTTGCTCGACCCGTTCTACATAGCCCCCTCTCTGGCAACGCGATTACCTTATGTAATTTGCTTCTGCTTCTCCTGCTCAATCATCCTCTCTGCCAGCTCTTCCTTCAAGTACTAATGTAATAGCCCTCATCACTGATCACTGATAGTGCTACTAATTACTGCTAAACTGTGACTGATTACGATAAGTAATTGAATCGACTGAAACACTGAACTGACTGATTGAACGTACTAGTTTAAATGCATGTCTATCTGTTTGACTGTTTAATTATATGTTCATGTTTTATGTTAAACTGCAAATTGAAGGCCTTATCGGCGGCCGAATCTGAAATTGATTAGTGATATGTGTTAATTGTAATTTATGTGATTTTATGGCATATTTATCAGAATTGTGATTTGGTATGATTAAATTAGATTAAAATGAGCTAAACTACACAAGTTGCCCTATTTACCATATTGCCATCCTAGTGGCCCACTACCTAACACATTTGAGCCTTGCACTTGATCACATAACATTCCTCCCTCAGCCATTTTAAAAGGCCACAACTGACTAGAGTGAGAGAGTGAGAGAATAGGAGTGATTTCAACTTGATTTTGTGAATTGGCTTGAAGAACTTGAAGAATTGAAGTATAGATTGCAAATTGAGCTCCTAAATCTTGAATGCAAGACTTAAGGTAGAACATCCACCTTCTTGGACTTGTTTTTAAATTGATTCATGCATGGTTCTTGTGTCCTTAGTGATCTAAGCCTAGATTAAGCCTTATAATGTTGAGTTGAAGCTTAATCTTTGCATGCATGTTGCCATTCTTGAGTTTTGAGGTGTTGTCCATGGAATTCCACATGCATGTTCATATCCTGAGTAGAGACTATGAATTCATCTTGTTATAGAAAGAATCGGCTCAATAGAGCTAGCATTTGAAGCTTTGAAGTTGTTGAATTCATGCATGTTACACATTCATCATGGTTTTGAAATGTTGTTTGAAATTGGGTTTAATTCCCTCACCTTTGGGCCTTGATTTTACAAATTGAGCTTTAAATCTTGTCATACTATGTATTTACAAGTGTTTTCCAGAAAATGGGCCCAAAGGAATCGAATTTGATGTTTTGAATTTGAGTTTTGAACTTGAGGTTCAAATTTGGAAATTCCAGATTTTGGACTCACGCTCGAGCGGGGTTACTAGCGTTCGAGTGTGAAATTCGTGCTCCCAGCACTTTACACTGTTTTACAGTCCGCTCGAGCGGGGTATTGGACGCTCGAGCTAGGACTTGTGTGTTACGCTCGAGCGGGTGTCGAGCGCCCATCGAGCGTGATTTTCTCACATCCAGTACTTTTACTGTAGTTTACAGTCCGCTCGAGGGGAATAATGCACACTCGAGCAGAGACCTTTGTCTGCATGTCCGCTCGAGCGGATATAGACATGCTCGAGCGAGACCCCTGTTTCCTGAAAATGCTTTTAAAGTGCATCTTTGTATCCTTATTTCATCCTAGGCATTCTTAGGCCTAGTTTAAGGCATCTTGATGAGGATATTGATGTAGAACCACACCGAGTCCAAGTAGGGACTAAGTTTTTGATTCCCGAATGTAAACTTAGTGTGTGTTCATCCTGTAAACTGTGTAGGGTTGGCATTCGGAGACGCGCCCTAGCTGCTTATAGCCCAGAACTCTGTGAGTAACAATGTCGTAAAGATATGTTCGAAAATGAATAATTTCTGAATGATCAACTAAACTGTTTCCTGAACTGTTTACTGTTAACTGAATGAATGTTGTCCTCTATTCTGAACTGTATTATGGCATCCTTAGCAACTACTATTTACTGTTACTGCTACTGTTACAGAGATCTCTGTCGATTCCCATGTTGGAACCACTACTGTTTACTGTTATGATGGCCATCATTGACTGTTCGGTCTTTTAAGACCTACTGTTTACTGTACTGCTATGCTAATGGATGTACCACATATGACTGTTATGACTGAATGATTGATATACTGAATCAATGAACTGTTTTCATTACTGTAAGGATATTCATTCTTAACCTCTTTACGCATTATGTTATTCACTGGGCTTTAGCTCACTGTTTATATATATATGTAGGTATTCAGGCACCAGACCGGAGCTAGGAACGTAGGTTAGACTCCCTTTTTTGTCAAGCTAACCACTGTGCCTCACTGCGAGGTTCCGAGCCTGCCAAGCTATGGCTTAGGGGTGTTTTATTTCCCCCATCTGTCTCTGCATCTGTTTTGTAATAACTGTTTAGACTGATACTGTACTGTTTAATAGGGATTAGGTCCCTGTTCTGAATGATTGTAAATGTTGTATTTACTGTTTTGTACTGTTTACATAGATATGTATGAAAAGTCTTTTTGCATACAGACTGTCACAGCTCATTGGACATTGTTTATTTACTGTTTTGGCTTCCGCCATGCCCCTGTACTCTATACCACTTTTTTACTGTTAAGCAGGCCTTTGGTAATCTCGGATTACTGGCCGGTTACGATGCTAAACCCATAGGGGCGGGTTTGGGTCGTGACAACTAAACACCCTTTGTCTCATTACCTTTCCAATCACCGCTTTTCTCCTTCGCACCGTGTGTTTCTTGCTAACATTTCAGGAACCACTAAGCCCACTTCCTATGCTCAAGTTGCATTAGATCCTAACTGGCTCCTTGCCATGAAGGTCGAGTTAGATGCATTGTAACTCAATCGCACTTGGACCCTTCTGCCCTTACCAGCTGGTCATCAACCCATTGGGTGCAAATGGGTGTTTAAAATCAAATACAAATCTGATGGCACCATTGAGCGTTACAAAGCTCGTTTCGTCACCAAAGGTTACACCCAAATCGAGGGTGTTGATTACAGTGAGACTTTCTCTCCAACTGCAAAGCTTACTACTCTCCGTTGTCTTTTGTCTGTTGCTACTGCTCGTAATTGGTTTCTTCACCAACTTGATGTTACAAATGCCTTCCTTCATGGTGACTTGCACGAGGAGGTCTATATGGTTCCTCCTCCTGGCCTTTGCCGACAGGGGGAGAATCTAGTGTGTTGGCTTAATAAATCTATTATGGGCTGAAACAAGCTTCTTGTAACTGGTTCTCCAAATTTTCAACTACTATTAAGAAAGCGGGTTTTCACCAATCTATGGCTGACTATTCCCTCTTTACCAAAGTTAATGGCGATTCTTTTACAGGAGTGCTCATCTACGTTGATGATATTATCATTACAGGTAATAATCTTGAAGAAATGGAACACCTTATATCCTTCTTTCTCAAACAGTTCCACATCAAGGATCTCGGTGACTTGAAGTATTTTTTAGGCATTGAATTTTCGCGATCCAAGAAAGGTCTTTTTTTGTCCCAAAGGAAATACGCTCTAGATATTTTACAAGATACAGGTTTAACGGGGGCACGGCTAGAAAAGTGTCCAATGGAACAAAATATGAAATTACAAACCATAGATGGTGCTATACTCAATGATCCAACGAGATATAGGAGGTTGGTTGGAAAATTAATTTATCTTACTATCACAAGACCAGACATTGTCTTTGCAGTTCAGAATTTGAGTCAGTTTATGCACCAACCCAGAAAACCACACATGGAGGCCGCACTTCGTGTCTTGCGATTCATTAAGGGTACACCTGGCCAAGGCTTGTTTTTCCCGGCTATAAACAATCTTGAGTTGAAAGCTTATTGTGATTCAGATCATGCAAGTTGTCCAACAACAAGAAGATCAACTACAGGTTATTGTGTGCTTCTAGGTTACTCTCTTGTCTCATGGAAATCCAAGAAACAGCCAATTGTGGCTCGTTCATCTACAGAGGCCGAGTACAGGGCCATGGCAAACATATGCCTTGAAATTACATGGCTGCGATATATATTGCAATATTTAAGAGTCAAACAAAAAGGCCCTACTCTTTTGCATTGTGATAATCAAGTTGCATTGCATATAGCGGCAAATCCAGTTTATCACGAAAGAACGAAACATATTGAAATAGATTGTCACATTGTGAGAGAGAAGCTACAAGCTGGCGAAATTTCTCCAATCTACATTTCTTCACAAGATGAACTTGCAGACATATTTACGAAAGCCTTGGGGCGGGATAGCTTCAATTACCTGAGTCACAAGTTGGGACTTCTCAACATTCACTCTTCAACTTGAGGGGGAGTGTTGGAAATCATATTGAGTAATTGAAGGAATTTACCTTTGTTGTATTAGACTCCACAATCAGTGGGTTAGCCATGATTGTAGCTGTTAGTGTATAGTTAGTGCATGAATATTATAATGTTAGTGTAGTGCATAGCTTTAATATAGCTTTATAGAAAGCTTGTTTCTTTCGGCCACTTTAAATTTGCTTTCATAATGTATGTCTGTAATCCTCTCTTATATAAATGAGCTCCTGAACATTGTTAGATATATAAATATACATACAGAAATTCTCTTCCATATCTCTCTGTTTTCAATCTCCAATGTCGTACGTAGCTTCTCGGACTTGCTTGACCCATACTTTGAGTTCGGGATCGTTCTCTTCCATAGCATCGGCAACTCTGAGAAAAGCCGTCATGCGCTCGAATTCATCTCTGATGTATTCGATTTCATCTCAAACTCCAGCCAACAAATTGGCCTCTTGTTGGAGAAAGGGTGCAAAGTTGGCTAGTAGATGGAACACTGCAGTCTCGGCCATTTTGCAATGTTGGTGACAAATTAATAATGGTAATGGTGGTCATGCGAAATGTTGTATATGATTCAAAATCTCCTTTTTCTTCCACAAGAACATGTTTGGTGATTCCTTCACATGGACCACGCTTCTTGCATAAGAAAAAAAAGAAGAAGATAAAAGGATAGAGAACGGGGGGTGGCTGGACATCCCCCCATTCTCTGTCAATCTCTCCCTATCTAAAATAAATTAAAGATTATCTATTATATAAATAAATATATTTAATAATAAATATAATCAAGACAGGAAGATAAAATTCACGCAGAGTAAGGCACGGATGCGGGGGTGAAAGAAAATTATCTTCCTTAATTGTATAGTTATTGGGCTCATGGGAGTTATCATGTGTCTTATTTGGAGATCTAATTTTTTTAATTTGTTAATTTTTTTGTATAAATTATTTAATAATCATAATTACATGCTTTTTACCTGCCTTCACAAATTGGATGCAAGTATACCATTTATTTTTTATAAATAAATATAGCAAAATTATCTAGTTATAATTATTAAATTTATTTATTTTTTAATATATAATTTACTCACAATAACCAAGATAAAAATTTAAATAACTATAATAGGACCTATTATGGCCTAATAATAGGCCCAACTACACCACAGCGGGAGTTAGTTTTTTTTTTTTGGTGTTTGGAAAGTTGTTATTTTAGTAGACTATTTTAGTTTTTGGCTATTTTAGTAGGTTAAAATTTTTGTGTTTGAAATGATGATTAGATTTTTTTTTTTTGTTTAGTTAAATGTGATGTTTGTAAAATAAAAAGTGAAATCATTATGGATTTGATATAACATTTTATCTTATTAGCTACTTTAGTTTATTTTCTCTTTTTGTGAATTTTAGCCTAAAAGAGACTAAAATTTTTTCTTGCCAACACCCCGTCTTTTTTAATTCAATTTATTTTATCTTTAATTTTTTTTTTCGGTTTTAAATTAGAATCATTTAGATGAGACGAGCCTAAAAATAAAATTGATTTTTTGTAAATAAAAAATAAAAATAAGTTGAAAAAATAAACTTGACCTTTTAATTTTAGCCAAGGAAGTGAATTTAAGCCCTGGCAATGGGTCAGTTCAAAAAAAAAGCCATGACAATGGCCTAGCCCGGACCTAAAATTTAGGGCCTATGTCAATGGCTTTGACTAATCAAGAGTTTGAGTTCAGGCCAGGCCATCTCTTATGGACTTAAGAATATGAGTTTATAGGATTTGACTCTGAACTTGGCCATATAAGCCTAATCTAGGCTTTAAATTCAAGAGAAATACTTTTATGTTGTGTTTGGTTAGGGGATTTGGGGAGAGATTTGGAAAGAGAAATAGAAAAGATAGGTGAAATGTGAATAAAATATGTATATATTTCACATAGTTTCACACACCTTTTCCCTTTCCCTTTTCCTTTCCAAATCCCTCTCCAAATCCCCTAACCAAACACACCATTAGGATGTGTATCATATATAAATTATGTCATTTAAAAATTTGATTATCACAAATGACATAACTCAATATTATAAAGGGTCATAACTAAAAAAAATAAAATTGAGTTATAATTAAATATCATACAAAGTATAACAAAACAATTCTTGAATTATAACCAAAATCTTATAACCAATATCGTAATGTGTGATAATTAACAATACAATACGTCATAACTATTGACTCAAAATTCATAACAAAAGGTGCATATAATACACACCTCAAGGGGTTTATACTATAGAATTTCACTTAGTGCAATCTTTTTTATTAAACAATAATGCTAGGGTCAGGAATAATTTGTCGGGAAAGGCTTCATGAATGAATTGGCAATGACCAACTCATCCTAGTGGACCCCCAAAATATATATATATATATATTTAAATAAAGAATATATTTTACCTAGAGAGAGAAAGTTACGTGATTCTATATTTTTGCAACATGCAGTCACATTAGCGGCAATGGCAATCTCTTAAAAAAAAAAAAAAAACCTTCTCTTTGTCTCACATTTCCGCCAATTGGCAATTTATACGCCGCCACTTGCATAATCTAAGTTTTTTATCACGATTTTTGCTGCAAGTTCTTGCAAGAACACCACCTCTGATCACAAAGGTATGAAAATATAGCGACTCTGTTATAGCAGTATGAAGATTTAGTAGCAATTCCTCTCTGTTAAGTGGATCTATTTTTTCACTAATGGTTGTTGCTGTGTTGTGGTTTTGTTGCTGAGTTGTTGGTGTTGGATTAATTTTGAGTGGTGTTTTGCTTTTATCTTGATGGTTTGGTTGGTACCTTACCAACCTTGGTTTTATGCTAGCAAATGATTAGGCACATATGGGAGTGCCAACCTAGTTCGGATTGTCATTGTGTACTGACGCTTGAGCACTTGCCTCTTTCTTGATGTATCACTTTGTAATTCATTTGTGTTCATCAATAAAATTGTTTTGTTGATCAAAAAAAAAATTATGAAAATATGAGTCTTGTTTGTTTCATATACTTTATTTTTAATTTCTTTGTGCATATTTGGAATGTCTTTTGATCAAACCTAGAATTTTAAAAATTTGGGGCTTTTGTTAATTTGGAGCTTTTGTGATGAATTAATCATGAATTATTAACTGTAGATGTAATTCTTTTTCAATCGTATTTTTGGATGTTTGTTTGAAGGCTAAATTAATGAAAATAAATTTTGTTGAATTTTTGGGGTGTTTGTTTGAAGGGTAAGTAAATGAAAAAATTAGTTTGTTGATTTTTTCTGTGTTTGCTTGAAGGCTAAGTTAATGAAAAAACAAGTATTTATTTAGAGTGTAAATGTAGTTCACAATTTCAATCAATTTGATTCACATGCATTATTGAAGAAAGGCCAAACAAAAGAAGAAAAAAATTGATTTATAATCAGTTACAGTCAATGTTTGTTTGAATTTGTGAAATACATGAATGTATGAATTTATAAGAGTTGAGAAATACTAAAGATTGATTCTCATAAATTTATAAAAGTTGAAAAATACTAGATGATTGATTCTCATGGAGCATGACCTTATAATGTTCATAATTGTTATGCGATAACAATGGTTTAATTTGATTTTGAATTTTTTGCTTGAATTTTTTTTTCTAGATGTTCAACATCAACATCTGCTGGTACTGGTGGAGATAGGGGTGAGACCATTGTGATGAGATATAAAAGCAAAAAATTTAATTGCGGTGTGATTGTAGTAATTTAGATGACAGAGTCCAAAACGCCAAACAAATGAAGACTTTATTAGGCATGGTGTAATCCTGTAGTAGTCAAACATATTAAACATGAAACTCAAAGAAGAGCAAGATAGTCAGAGGTTATAGCTACCAACACTCATGAAGTAGAGAACAATCCATTGAGTTTGAATATTGAAGGAATTGAATGTCATATTAATATCCTAAAAATGTTGATTCCGCATGCTCTTGTATTTTGTATTGCAATAGCAATAAAATGAGTATTGGAAAATATGACTAATGCCATTTCATATTCGTGTTTGTATTGTAATGGAATGTCTTGTATTTTGAATTGTAATGATCAATGAAGAATATGAAATTCCTTATTTTTGTCATGCTCTTATTGATATTGTTACTAGCAACTCCTCATTGAATTTTTATTTATTTTTAATGACAAACATAACCTGTTAATGGGCTTAGTTGAGATCACAAATTAAAGAACAAATCAAATTTATTCATAATAAAGAAAAAAACATTCTTAATGGTAATTTACTCATAATGTGAAGAAAAAAAAAATCACGTTTCGTAATGAAAAAAACTTCAACATTCCGTAATAAAGCCTAATAATTGATAATGCTTCAATGTAAAAGTTCAACTATATAAGCTAACACCAAAATCATAGTGCTTTAACAAACAAGTCTCTCAAAATGTAATATAAACATTCTCAATGAACTTTTAAAAAAAAGAAGAAAAAAAAGTCAACAAATGTCTAAGCAACCCTGTCATGTAGACATTTTCAACTTCTACCATTTGTGTCCTCTTCTGGATTGCTAGCCTATGATTGTGCTATGTCATTCAACATTTTTGTGAGAGTTGAATGTTCAAATATCGAAGATGAAGATGGATGATGATTTTCCTATCAAAAAAATAAAATATATTAAATTTTCATAAAACCATGTAAATAAATACACACTAGAATATTATGTACTTGGTATCACAAGTTTTCTTGAAATATGTTCTATTGCTCCAAACTTTGACCCAATATTTCAGATTCCTGCAATATAAGAAGCAATTAGACAGTCCACCTATAAATAAATCATGTAACTATAAAGTTAATGAATAAAATAAACTTCTTACATTTCAGTTGAGTACTTTCTTGTTTACCAAGATCAACAAATCTATATTTGAAGGTGCACCAAACTCGGATTGCTGCATAATATAAAATTTGAAAGTTAAGAAAATAATAACTTTTTTTTAATAGTAAATTAACTTATTCAAATAATTTT